CCCTCATATAGGTTTAGGGTTTAGGGTTTAGGGTTTAGGGTTTAGGGCTTAGGGCTTAGGGCTTAGGGCCCCAAAAGGGTGGGATCAAGGTAGGTGTCTAGGACAGTTTCAGGTGGGTAGTTACCGTTAAGGAGCCTTATAGAGGGTCTATATACCTTATGGAAGCCTCAAAGAAGCCCTATATACCCTAAACTCCCCACCTGTAGTTTCCTCTAAAGGTGAGGGAATCCCAATAAGAGTCCTTATCCTACCTACCTTCATCCCACCATTTGAGGCTTGCAATATCAAGAAGGGCTTTCAGGCCTCCAATTCCCAGAGCCACAAGAATCTAAGAAGATGCTATGTAGTCAGGCGAGTTGACATGGACATGGAGAGCTTAACATAAGAGGAATATCGCCAGATGTAGCCAATGTCATGGTTTCCTTGCTGCGGCTGCGGCACGTTACGTGAAGTATTGACCCAGCACCGAGACTAAGGGTTGCACCCGAGCAAAGTTTCAGGTAAAGGGACCTCGGCTTCAGAAGAAGGCTGCAAATGAGTCCGAGTCCATATTGGGCGGTTTCTACATTGGGGGGTTTCGTAGATGGGACTCTGACTTAGAGAGCTAGCCATGAAAAGCGATGGGCATGACAAGGCTTCCCTAGAGAATCGTAGAAGATGTCGAGTTCCAATTTCAACGGGCTTAGGGTTTAGGTGAAGTTCTGCTGAAGATGTGAGTCAGTGCAGGCTCTTCTGTATCAGCCACTCCTAGGGTGCTTGCTTGAGCAGGGTCCTGCTCTCATCAGTATTCCGATAGTTCTGTCGGAGGCTTCAGAGACCGCCCCAGCATCAGAATTACTAATCGTATGATTCCATGTGGTCAAACTCGGTCCAACCGTTGCAGTTTAGTATTTCGTTCGGGCATACACGGTAGAGTTAAAGCATGCTGATCTCCAGTACTTTTTCTGTTTTGCTCGACGGATTTTGTATCGAGTATCCGAATAACGGTCCCGAGCTGCTTCCCCATTGCACAGGCACACAGTGGAAGCGCGCGGCTGCGCCTCCTTTGCAAGAAAGGAGTCAGGCAGTCGTTGGGCGGGGTTTAACAGTTTAGCAAGTGCCGGCTGAAGCAGGGCTTCTGCAGCAGCTGCGGTGTGACGACAAACATGAGCAATACAGAAGTCTGACTCACTACGAATACTATTCCTTATGGCTCCGTTTTCCTTACAGTATATTTTTCACCCGAATCCTATTCTGATACATGCTGCATAACCTTCAGCACCTTGTGAAGTCTTTGGAAGATTTTCGATTCGTTGTACAGCGCCAGGACGACCGCAGCACGTTTGCATCTTGCAACCTCCTGACCAATCCTGGCCCCTAGGCCGTACCTGGATCGTAGTGCAGTTGATTGCTGTCCCCGCGGTGTGACCCAGTCAGCTGGGCGGGAATTAGCTTGACAGCTAGACCTCAACTCTAAACTCCGGAAGAACTCTAGGCCCCAAAAGCTAAACAAAAATCCCCCTCTCCGAGGCGCTGGCAAAGCAGCTGAAAGTCGAAGGTTTGCGTGGCAACACCGTGACATGCGCAGCGACGATCAGTGCCCGGTGGCCTAAATTTAGCGTACATAAATAGAAATATCCATATACATATAGACAAAACAATGTATATTAGTAGTATGATTGTGATTGTGATTGTGATTGTTATTGTTATGATGAAAATGGTTATACATGCGATGTTTTTTGAGTGATGGTTGGTGGGGTCGCAGGGGGCTCGGAGGGGCGGGGTGGTTTTTGATGGGCCATTGAGCAGATTAGGTCCGAGGAGTTCAATACCCCTTCATTACGGAATGCACCTTAGATCATAATACTAAGGCCCTTTTCATTTCAGGTCTGTTCGTTATTAAAGGGGTATTGGGCTCTCTGGGTTGGTGTTTAGCTGGAGTTTGCAAGCTTCGGCGTAGACATTGGAAGACACATGGCCCGCGTCGGCAGGGTGGGGCATTGAGTCTGGTTCGCTGTTGCGTTAATTCATTGCCCCAGTTTCGTGCCGAATCCGCCACACGAGGCTATCACCTAAGCATTCACGTAGCAGTGATAATATAGGGGCCTTAGTTAGAATCGTTAGAAAAGGGTTTTGGGGTAAATTCTACTATAACTATAATAAGGAACTCCAAAAATAGTACAGGTAATTAATCTGGCCCCTTTCTATTCATCGCTTTACTTGTTTTAGTCTTGCTCCTCTGCCGGCCTTGCGTTTGGCAGCCCAGGCCTTCGCCCGAGCCACCCGCTGGCAGCTGGCGCTCGCGGCCTTGCATGAGGCAGACTGCCTTCAAGCAGTGCTACAAAGAACCCCTAATCCCCAAACCCTAAAGCCCTTACCCCTAGTCCCCAAACCCTGACCTAATCTCCAAACCCTAAAACCTGAGAAGATAGAACCCCTAATTCCCAACCTGTCTCGAAGGCCTAAACCCCTATAGACCCTAAAACCTTTTTTAGAACCCCAAGCCTAAACCCACCCTACGCCTCCATCTCAACCTAGACCCTTCATCTACCCTCAATTAGATCCTAAATACCTTTTTTTGGGACCATATACCCCTATTCCTGGAAAGGCCGAATCTTCTGGCATGATGTCCCAAGCGGCGCTCGGCGCTGCGATCACCGCAGCTGGCCGGGAAGGAGGGTTTCTTTCAGGGGGTCTTCCAGGGCTCGTGATGACTTTGCCTAGTAAAGTAGTAATAGTAAGGCTTACTAAGGGTGTAGGAAATCAGCATATAGTAAGGATTTCTAGAAAGGTTTTATAGATTTGCGAGTGCTGAGCGGCTCGGGTGGTTCGGTCTTGCAGGGTTTTTTCAGGTGCTTTTGGTTCCCTCCGTTCGAGGGTGAGCCGGCGACATGGTTGGCCAAAGGCCTGGCTTGGATTTGGGTTTATTGGATCTTAGATTCAGGTTTGGGTTGAGGATGGTTTGGGGTTTGCGGGGGAGGGGGGGGGGGCAGTGATTCCAGTGCACCTGGTGCGGAAAAGGAGCTGTCCGCCGCCACTTTTTCCTCGAGCACTTTTCTACAGGTGTGTGTTTTGTGATATATTTGGCACCAGGCTTTATTTGTCCTCCAAACCTTTGCAGTGCGTCTCGCACACTGCAGCATGCAACGCTTGTGGCCTTTGCGTGGATGCTTTGCGAAGACTCCTGCGTCAATGTGTCAAGAGAGAACCGAGCGGGCACCGGGGCAGCGGGGGAGGGGGGGTTGCGAATATTGTGGCGACGCGTGTCGCATGATTGAAAATAATTACATGAAAGCACACAGCCAAGATAGCAAAGTCCCTCAAGGAACGGCAACAGCAGCAGCAGCAGCAGCAGCAGCAGCAGCAGCAGCAGCAGCAGCAGCAGCAGCAGCAGCAGCAGCAGCAGCAAGAGCATGGCTCCCAACACCCACAGCAACAACCGCAATGACAAGGATCGAAGAAAAGCTGGCTTTTTTGATTCTTGCCGCACTTTGGTACTATTCAAAGCAACGAAAAGCCAGAAACAACAGCAGCAGCAGCAAGACCACCAACCACAACAACAACAACAGCAACAGCAACAGCAACAGCAACAACAACACCAACACGACCACGACCACAGCGACGCCAGACGCCAGGGCCAGCCACGGCCCCAACCGCCACCACTGCCGGCACCACACCACCATCCTGCCGCTACCACCACCTGTTGCTGCTGCCTGGTCCTCATAGTAAAATTGAGATTATTATTGCCTCGACGACAACGGCGGAGGCGACGACAACGACGACGACTGATTGTGGCTGCGACACCGACTGCGCCTGCGCCGGCGGCGGCTGCTGCGGCGAAGGACGACCACGACAACCAACAGACCACTTCACTACGACGACAAGTAGTTGCGACAACTCCGCTTCGTAATTGCCAATCTCTGCTACCCCCCAGTGCTGCTTCTTTCCTGCCACTGTTTCTGCCAACTGTGCTCACTCCAGTTGGCACCTAAACCGGTCACTAAGATTGCTGGATGGCAATGAGAGGATGATAATTTGCACTATGAGCACCAGCGAAGTCCAAGAACGCAAGTCGGAGGCAACAAGCACATAGGTGTTTCTAGTGCAACCTTGGCGTCTCGCTGAAGCTATAGCGATAGCAGTTGGTAGGGCTGTGGCGCACAAACCTTCCCGTCGAACTTCAGAGTGTAGGTGAGTTGAGTCATGGACGGCACCAGAAAGATTCCCTACATCTGAAGCCCTCAACGGTCAGCTATCGTAAGCCTCAAGCACCACCCCGAACTCCCATCTTTCTGCGAACCCCCTCCCCCCATACAAGGCCTGTGCTGCGGCATTCGCTTGGGCGCAGGTGCGCCTAATCCCATGGAGTTATAAGGGTTTTACTTAGAGAGTTGCATAAAGGACCGGTTTTAAGTCCGCGGAGGCCTCTTGTTTGTATCTGTTCGTATGATGGTATCCCGTGATAACGCTTAGCCGGCTTAGCCCGCGGTATACTTACGGCATAATACGATACCACCAAGAAGGGAGAAAAATATTAAGGCCATGCATGCGGCTCGCGCATTAGCTGGCCGGGACTATGGTTTTTGAGGATCTTGCAAACAGAGGCTATGAGTCGCAAGCGAGCTTACCTGCCACTTCGAGCCCCGTCTCACAGCGACGTGTCTACGAGGCATCCTCATCATGTATAGCCCGTGAGTCAAAGTGTGAAACCCAACAGACCCAAGGCTATTGAAACCCGAAAGGCTTTAAGATAGGGGATTCGTATTTATACCCCCATGTTGACTTACAGTCCTTAGTCCCCCAAACCCCTATTCACCTATTTAGATTCCAATTCTTTGTTTAGGCCCCTGTAGTAAATCTCATAGCAACCCTATATTAATACTCACGGTAACCCTTGTACCTAACTCTTGCAGTATGCCTTATAGTCTATATAATATAGTATTCCCCATAGTATCCCAAAACCTAGCGCCGAAACCCGATCCCGAAGACCCTCCCTAAACCCTAGACCCTGAGACGTTTAGGCGTTGGCTCTTCTACGAGATGAGGTCCAGGCCCGCAGATGGGGAATGGACAGCCCGAAACCCGCAGTCGGGCTTCAGGGTTTGGGGATTTCAGACGTAAACGGACTTCAGGGTTTGGGGCTTTTAGGAGCAGGTCAGCTGGGCCCGGTTCACATTGGTGTTCTACTTGGAGCCCCCCATATACCCGAAGCATGAGAGCCGGTCGAAGCTTCGAACAGACTTCCGAAACCTTTGCTGCAGGAGGTGGCATACAATTCTGCCATCACCGCTTGCGACAACGGGGGTGAGTGGGAGCGTGCGCTGTTGCTCTTGCAGGCCACTACACTTGGTGCAGGGTTCTACTAGACAAAGCCCAAGGGCCACTGAGACTTCATTTGCTGGTACTGCAGCACCGGCAGTCTCATTAATTTAAAACAGTTTCTACTTACTTTGCATCCGAATCTTGAATAGGGGCGGCACAGTTTACTGTGCAAATAGCCTACGGCTGTTCGCTGAAACTGCAGCCTTGCCCCGATCGTTAGATGAGACGACCATGAATCCCTGAGCCCCAAAGCCCTAAACCCTGAACACCCTCCTCACGGGAGGCAGAGGGAAAAAGAAGAAAAGGAGCCCTGAAGCCCTGAACACCGAAACTGCGCAGCCTGCAAGCCGAGCGACCCTGAAGCACCGGCCACTGAACCTCCGAGCCTTGAGTCCAACCTCGCCCCCCCCGCCCCCCACCCTCAAAAGGCACCTTGGAGGGTTCCTTAAAGGTGTCTAAGTCTGGGACGTAGAGTTTAGGGTTTAGGGTTGCATGGGCGCTGGCCTGCACCTCAGTCCGTGCTGAAAAGGGATCTGTAGAGGGTGCTACGGGGTTTGTGGGGTGGAGGGTATACTAAAGCCACAAGTCTCTTATAATTACCTTATTTATAACCCTAGTTACTAAGTGCCATGATCCTCCAAGTAATTTTAAGAAGCCCCTTGTTGCTAGGAGCTGGAGCGCCGTGGCTTGTGCAGCACCACCACTTTCAATGTCCGATGCTCAGGGGTTGCCAGAGGCTTTCACCTTAGGGTTTGGGGGGTTTTCTGGCCCGTTCAAGGTTTCGGCCGTCGGGTTGCGGGGCTTTCGGTCATGGGCGTAGCATGCGTAGCAGCCTTAAAGTGGATGTGGAGCTTCGCGCCAGGGCGTCAGGCTGCTTAGTACTTGTAGCTTCCCCAGAGAGCCCAATACCCCTTAATTAAGGAATATACCTTAAATCATCATCTTAAGACCGCTATAATTTAAGCTATGAGGGGTATTGGGCTCTCTGGGTCTTGGCTTTTTTGAACCCATCAGATTTGCCTCTGCAGAGGCCGCCCTGTCTGCTTGTGCCAGTGCCTCCGCGTGGGAGGCCATCGCCGGGGCCATGGGGTCTGCTTGCAGAATGTAGGAGCTTGATATTGGAGTTTCCTTATTTGGGGGTCCTTATATTAAGGATCCTATTATTTAGGGTGCTATATTAGGGTCCCCTATTTTCAGAAATATCATGTAGGAGCTTGATCTTTACTTTATTTAGCCCTATGTTACGTGTTCGTGCTGTGCTTGAATCTCCGCGATTCGCGCTCATTATTGCCCAGTGTCGGATGATCTCGGAAACCAAGCAGACCGCAGACGCCGATGTCAACCTAAACCCAGTGTAAAAATCAATTGAAACCCTTCAGTCATGCAGGCCTTACTAATATAGGGGCCTCAATCCTTCTTATACTTATAGTATAATGGGGCCCGGAACCCTATTCTAGTTATTAATTGAGACCCCATTTTGTTTGGGAGTACACCTTAGAGTCTCTGGGTTTTGAGGGTCTTCATTCGGTGTTATTGGATATTGTTTCCACGGGACTTGAACTCGATGCTCGGCATGAATATAGAGGTATGAATATTTTGTGGATAGAGTATAGTAGAGTTATTGCAGGGACTTAGGTGACACTCTTGAGAAAATTATGCCTTCAGAGGAGCCCATGACATGAGCCCTGTTGACATCCTTGCGTTACCAATCGCACATGAAGACTAGGGGTTTGGGTTTAAACTTAGGGTTTAGGGCTCAGGGCTTGTTGTTGAGAGTTCAGGGTTGAGGCTTTGCTCAACAAGAAAGGCGCTGAAGCTATCTGGCTGAGATGCGCAACTCGTACCCTTCGTCTGGGGGTTGTTCTACTTGAACTCCATCACTGCACAGTCTTCCTAGAAGTCTCCCAATGGCCGCAAATTTTACACCCCCCTCAACCCTAAACCCAAAACGACATGGTGCCGCATAAACCCCCACCCCTCCTCCCATTCTTCTCGAGGCTGCGGCCGTCCTCTTCGCCAAAGCAGTGCGCGGCCATGCTGCGGTGTCTCGCTGGGTTTAGGGAGCTTTTGGGTTTAGGGCTTAGGGGCTCGGTTTGGGGAGCTTGGGTTTGGGGTTTAGGGAGCTTGGGTTTGGGGTTTGGGGAGCTTGGGTTTGGGGCGCTGGGTTTAGAGCTTGAGGGGGGTTAGGTTTGGCCCCGTCAGTTTTGAGGTCGGAGGGAGTGCTTTTGTTGGCAGAGCTGCTGGGCTCCCCAAATCCTAAACCCGACACTTCTACGCCCTATACGCGATCAAATACTACAACCTCTCGATAGAATTTGAACCCTATCTACCCCCCAAAAAAGCTGCGAAATATGTTTAAGCCCAAGGTGTAAATGCATGTTTAAACCGGCCCTTCAGCGTCACACGTTTCGAATGTGCTTACCCCCGAGTTTGAACATGTCGTTTTAACCGCATGTTTAAACTGGTCCTTGGTCCTTGAGTGCAACACTCCGAACATGGCTAAAGGCGGGTTTTAGACATGTAGCTGCTCCCTGAGTGCCACTCCTTCCGAATACGTTGAAACCAACGCTTAAACGCATGTGTAAATTGCTCCTTGAGTGCCACACATCCCGAATCTGTTTAGGCATTTGTTTAAACATGTCTGTCAACCTAAAATACCCCAAAGCCCAACACCCTAAGCCCTAAACTCTAAACTCTAAACCCCGAGTGTGAGCGCCGAAACCCTGAATCGCAAACCCCATATCCTGAACCAGAAAACCCTAAAGTCTAACCCTGACCCGAACCTCGCCTGTGAGCTTCGTTCTCTGCCATGCGAGAGGGAAAACAACCCTGACCCGAAAGCCCTCCTTGCCTGCCTTGTGCGAGTGTGAGAGTCGAAACCCAATCCAACCCCGTTTCGTGTAGTTCTCTAAATTAGGGTCCCTTCTAGGGGCCTTTATATAAGGGTGCCGTGCGAAATTAGGGACCTAAACAGGGACCCCAATTTAGAGAACTACCCATATCCTGAACGAAAACCCTAAGCTCCCCGACCTCTGCGGTCCTTGAAGGCAGCCGGGTTGAGGACTTCGCTAGACTTCACTCAGGTTCCATTGAAATCCCGAACCACCAAGCCTGAATCTTCAGCCCCAAAACCCCAAACCCTGCACCCCCAAACCCCCTAAACCCTAAACCCCCAAACCCTAAACCCCCAAACCCCAAAACAACATCCCACACCCCAGAATCTCCCGCCCTAGCGCCTTCGAAAGTCGACGAGGATGCCTTGACGTGCAACGCCTACCTGAAGGGGCTAGCAGCGAGCAGGACCCTAAAACTTGTGAAGGGGGGTTGGGGCGGCGTCTTTGGACTCTCGCAACACTTCCCTCACCCTAGACCCTAAACCCTCTAATGGTCTACAACGCCAAACTTTTCAGGGGTTTACGGCTCAGGAGTTGTTTGCGCAAGTTCGTGAGCAAAGGAGACATTGTGCGAGTGCTTCGTTCAAGGTCCTGGCTCCGGTTTGGTTTGTTCAGCCTGCGTTTGCTTCCTTGCTTGTTCTGGACTTGGGTTCTTGGGTTCGCACAGGCTTGGGACTCAACCCAGTGGATGTCTCAAGAAAGAAAGACTTTCCCCCAGTAGTCCTTGTATAATTATAGCTAGGGAGTCTGCCATCCTGGAAAGTTAGAAAACTGTAGCAGTCAGGGCTGGCTTCTTTTCGAACACCTGCATTATACAGGATAGTTTCACAAAGCCAATACAGGAGACAAAAAACTCGAAGCCATGGCATGGTAACTCTCCCCCAAATCCGGAGATCCGATTGTGCGCGTGGCGTCTCGAGAGGGGACACGTTGACGCACAGCAGAGCCCCGGAGCTTTGGACCCCTTAAGTAAAATCCGTGAGACGCTTTTAGCACTCCATAAACAAAAAAAGCCCTTCAGTTAATTTTTACAACGTGGTAACACCTTGTCAAAACTCTAGAAGGCCTTTACAACAGCTTATGAAACCCTATAAAACCTCCCGATGACCACCGCTTTAGCAAGCCTCGAGATCCTGAGATGGAGGCAGTGGGCCTTCGCTCTACACTTGCATGAGCAGATGCGTGCCTGGACTTCATCCTGTTCAGCAGAAGCCGCGAGTACGGCTTGCCGTTCAGGGATTGTGGTTTAGAAAGGGTTAACCCCGGTTCAGCCACAAGTTCAGAAGTCTGAACCGTCCTGAAGCCATGCTTCACCATCTTCAAGCAAGCAGGCAGCCTAAAGGAGCATTTTGGATGCTTCCACAGACACCCTGCGCGCAGCCTCCCACCGCAGCTGCTATTTGCTTCTTCCATCGTAGCTGAAAAGCACCTCAAGCACTTAAGCGGAGTGGTTGGGGGCGCCCGGACCGGTGGTCGTCTCCGTATGCCCGGGGAGCCCAATATCCCTTAATTGAGGAGTGTGCCAAGGTGAACGGAAGATCCAGCCTACACCAATCACAGCGCAGACGACAGCGGCAGCTTGGAAAGAAACGGCCGTGCCGGGAGCGCGAGCAAGGTTGTGCGCAGCTGAGGCATTGCTTGAAGACTGCCTGCAACGGCGGCTCTGCACTTACAACATCTGCAGCGATTGACACTAGCGAGAATCTGTGATTTCTTCTACTTATGTCATGCAGTGGGTGGTCTTACACTGGGAGGGCAGGCTGTCTCCCCCTGGGCCACAACGGACGCGGTCTTTGTTTGCGAGTGATGGTTCTGGCCTATTCTGGCCTCCTAGGGATCCGAGTACACGTCAACACCTTACACTCGGTCACATAATCTGTGGTAGGCAGGACCTGATATTCAATTGGCTGGCGACACAAGCGACGCATTACCAGCAGTAGCCCCACAAGCATGCAAACGCAACCCTCCGCACTAAACGAGCGTAAATTTCATTCCTCAAACTTGGAATCCCAGGCCCCAAACCTACAGCACCTTTTCCCAGAAAGGCGTCCTCCCGATGCTCTTCCGGCCCCGACGGGCGAAGCTTGGCGCCTTCTGGTGGCGGCTGGCAGCGGGCGCCACCTGAGGGAAGGGATGCTTCAAGTAGAACAGAACGGCTTGGGGCTTGCGATGATACAGGGGCCCTTAAATTTTTAAGGGCTGATTCTGGTAGACCTCAGAAGGGTTTGGGGGGGCACCTGGAGCCTGGGGTTTCAGGGGTGGGAGCCGACAAGTTTCCGAACCGCATTGGATGAGAATCTTCTGCACCCTCCCCAGAGAGCCCAATACCCGTTAATGAAAGAATCTACCTTAAATCATAAAATCAAGGCCGCTATAGTTTGAGGTATATTCCTTGTTTAAGGTATTGGGCTCTCTGGGTCCGATGTCCTGAAGCCGTCGAAGCACCGGAGATGGGAGAGTCAACACCCTTATTGTACACCAAAGCCATATTCTACTGCCAAAACCTTTGTAGCATATATATATATATACACATACATACATATATCTTGTAGTCGCCCTTTTGGACACTTTTTAAGGGACCCCTACACCCTAAACTAAACCCTAAACCTGAAGGACTGCCCCTTCACTTCGCCCAAACCCCTGCTCAGGCGGCCCGTCCGCTTTGGCCTTGCACCCAGCAGCCCGGGGGTTTCCCGTAGTTTCTCGAAAGTTTGGTTTAGGGTTTGGGGTTTTGGGGTTTTGGGGTTTAGGGTTGGCATCTCAGTCCGTGCTGACGAGGGTTTAGGGTTTAGGTTTTTTTAGGGGTATAGGGTTTTATTGGTCCATAGGCCATCATTGGCCATACTTGTCGCCGAATCGACCTACCTTTTTCCGGTTCCTTGGTATGGTTTCTGTCTATAACTCCTTCAAAAGGTAGGTTTTTGGGCCAGAGAGTTTAGGGTCCTAACAAACCTTAAACCCGAAACCCCAAAACAGGGTTTAGGGTCTTAGGATTCGAAGATGGGTTTTCGGTTCTAGTAAGACCTGAAGCTCCTCCTTCAAGACGTAGGGCATGCTAGGGTTTCGGGTTAGAGTTTGGGGTTTAGGGTTGAATGGGCTTTTGTTTTTTTGGCGGCTTTTGCTATGGTTTCCATAGTGTACAGTAGGCCTTTAAGAGCTTTCAAGTCGAAATCCTGCAAGCCCGAAACACCCTGAACTCATTAACGCCGAACAAAAGGCGCCTGATGCGGCCTGATGCGTCGAACAATCCCTTAAAACCCCATAAACTTAATCTTTGTCTCGGCTATACGGTTTAGGGTTAAGGGTACACTAATTGCTGATGTGTAGGTAGAGACCTGCAGATGTGCCGAGCATGCTGCAAACGAGGGAATGGTGTGAAGCATGCTCCCCCTACCTTTCCCAGCAGAGGCGCCGCAGGCTGGATGCAAAAGGGTTAAGGGTATGGCATTGGAGCGGCAATAGGGCACCTCGAGTGCAAGATATAGAATAGCGACGTGCCACTCAGTCAAACTGCAACTACAGAATGAAGCGTAGTACTGGCAAGGGGGTAACAGGGTCAGCCCTAAACCCTAAACAGTAGGAGTAAGAGAAGCCAGAATCGAAGTTTAGGGTTGGTGGCTTCGGGAAGAGTTTCTCTTGGGAGGGGGTTATGTTTGGGGTCTCAGGTTTGTTGTCAGGGCGGGGAGTTAAGGTTTGCAGTAGGCTTTTTATTGTGGAGTCTCTGAGTCGCTGAGTTCTTCCGCCGCGGTGGCTCTCAGGGTAGGCCGATCCTAGATCGGTGCTCTTGCGGACGGCCTGGGGTGATGACCAGGCACCTGACATGTAGGCTGAAGGGTTTGAAGAGGATTGAAGCAGAGTTTGTTGAGGCAAGGGATATTCTTGAATCATCATATCTCAGCGTCGATGGTGTATCCATGAAGAGAACAACGACGATTTGACGACGGTAAAAACAGCAGCCTTCTTGCTATTTCGATACGCTAGGCCATTAGGACGGCAACTGTTATTACCCTAAGCTCTACTGCTGCTATAGGGGCCTAAATAATTGCCTACATGATTTTGGGGGGCTCCTTATGAAAATGATAGTGCAATGGGCCCGGAAACCCTATTCTAATTATTACGGCCCTTATCTCAGCTTCTTCTGCCGCCTTTTTTTTTCTGCTCAGTTCCCCAATAATTCCCTCGCAGGTCCTAGCAGCAACGCTTGACCTCAAAAGTCGAAGCCACGCCCCAGAAAGGCGACCGATGTTCGGAAGCCCTCCCCCCCGAGGTTTATTACTCAGGGGTGTACAGAACGTAATGCAAGGCGCCGAAAAAAGGGTTTAGGGTTTAGGGTTTAGGGTTTAAGGTTCCATTGAATCATCCAATTACTCCGTCCTCTATAGTTAACCTAACAGCACTGGAAGCCGGCACGTGAGGGCTGGCAGGTACTTGGCACTAACTACACGCACCGTGAGAGGAACTGGCAATGCCACTTCAACTTGCAAGTGTGCCCTACCTTGGACCTAGGGAACACCCTCGCATATATGAACATTAAAAACCTGAACCCCAAAACCCAAAATCCCCTAAACCCAGCAGTCCAATGAGGTAGAGAACGCAGCACGTATCGCCCGAAACGTAGTGTTTTGTCATGAATAGTGGTGTGTGATTAGTGGTGTGTGATTGTGAGACGCTTCCTTGCTCCTTAGAAGCTTTCCTCTTGCTTATGGATGGTGAGCTGGCAGCCGGCCTGGTCCTGATTGGCTGGGCTTGACTTGGTGTATGACCTGATGTTGGATGGTTTCGGTTATCAACTCCCGCATATCCTGGTAGCATCCCAGTCGAAGCCCCCAAATCTCAAACTAAACATAGACCCGAGGCATCCCGAGGCCCTTGATCTCTCAAACCCTAAACCCTGAAAGCTGCGGCTTGTAGCAGGTTCTAGGCATCTCCCGGGATGCCAACAACAGCGAGGTGACCAAAGCATTTCGAAAGCTCGCGCTGCAATACCACCCAGACAAGCAGCAGGCAAGGCCGACAGTTTATTAGAAAGCCAAACCCCGAAATCCACTAAACCCCGTGAGCCCTAAACCCTTAAACGCCTAAACCTTCAACCCGAAACTTCAGGTTTGTATGATTAGCCACTAGAAATGGCTGTATGGAGTGTGGCCGGGGTTCTTTCGGAGTCCATCTCTTCAGGGGTTGCGCGTTTAGACTCCGGGTTGTGCTGCCGGCATGTCGAGGTGCAGGTTGAGGGTTTAGGGTTTAGGGGTGGTGCGCGATCTCGGCTGTTCATGGCGCCTGCCATTAGCCAGCCAGCCAGCAAGCTCTAACTCTAATTGCGTCTGCAAATCTGCCCAAAGTCCGAAAGTCACCCGAAGTCAACCTTTCTCACTATGAACGCCCCTAGAGGCATGAAAAACCAGAGACCCCAAAACCCCTAATCCCTAAACCCTAAACCCTGAACCCCAAACCCTAAACCCCAAACCCTAAACCCCTAATCCCTACACCCCAAACCCTAAACCTAAACCCGGAACCGCGGACCGTGCAGTCTTTTTCTTCCTGCTTCTAGGAGGTCTCGGGTTGCATGCGCACCGTGTAGCGAGCAGCTATACATGGGAGTTTCTGAAAACAAGGGGTACCTTATTTGGGGGCCTGGTAATAAGGATCCAACTATTTAGGGTACTTTATTAGGGTCCCCTACTTTCTGAAACCCCCACATTACATCAGGTCATGAGCAGGCGAAGCAACGAAGCTAAGCCGCCCTAACCCCCGCCCCCCCAAAGAAAACCGGCATCTAAGTGATGTGGGTCCTGGGAAAGCAATGGCGAGCCCGAAGCTCGGTCACTCTGCCTGTGCATCAATCAATCAATTTTCTAGAGCCCCGCAAAAGAGCATCTCACCTTGCAAAAGCAGGATACTAAGTTACTACCTACTTAGGTGGCTGACCATGTACTGTTGCATTGCACTGGCCTTTCTCGCGTCGTGCCGGATGATTTCTGGTTAACGGACAGGCTCGAAGAGGCAGCTTGAAGCAGCGAACCAATGGGAAATGTGCAGGTTGTCAAAGGCAGGCCTACGACGCCTTGCATGACCCGGAGAAGTTGGAAAGCAAGTTGCAGGCGCTGCCGTCAAGGGAGGTCTGTTCAGAACCGGGTAGCCTCTATGTCATGATGAGTATCTGCCGGAATGTCGACTAGTATACTCTGGAAACATACGGGTCGGGTCGATAGCATTCGGATCCCACCGGCAGGCCTGATGGGCTTAGTTTTTAGAGCTTCGTCTCTTTCTGCTTCTATGCATGGATGGTCTTGGGGGGTTTCAACACATTCGGAGTGAGCTCTGACCGTTACCGAAGGTCTGTTCCTCGTCATGCCTTTCGTCTCCATTGCACTTCCTTTTGCGTGTTGAGGCAACTTCTACATAGTCAGGGCTCTACCTTTTTAGGATCCTAAGTTAGGATCCTAAAAGGTAACTCGAAAAAGAACTACATGTTGAAGACTTTAGGTAGACCCGTTCCCTTCCTCCCCGAGCAACGCCCTGCCAAGGCGATGTCTGGAACCGGCCATGCTCGGGTAAACACAACCCTATAGAATCTTACTCCCTAAGCCCTAACCTTAAACTAAACCTTGAAGGGCCTCGCAGGGAGTCCGGAGGGTCAAAGCCCTGTATGAATTCTAAACCCGGAAATTGTAAATCCTAGCACCCAAAAGCCTTTAGACTGTCATGGAACTCTTCATTAAGGCTCCTAGGTTGTCTTGGGGAGACCCCTTAAAGGGACCCTTGTTAACCCCACTTTTGGCTCACTTAAACGGGACCTCATTGAGAGGGTCCATATCCCCAAGGGTCCCCCCGCAATCCTAACTCCTATAGGCGCCCAAAGCCCCAAATCCTGGCAAAACCATCAACCCTGAGCAGCAACCGAAACCTTAATCGAAGCAGAAGACCCTAGATGAAACCTAAACCGCAAATCTGCCTGGAGGCGCCAAGACGATGCGCATCAGTGCGGAGGAGCTAGACTTTCTCTTCAGAGCCGTCCCTTGCTTGCTTTTGGCGCTCCGAAGTGCATGCCGGACATGCGAGCTGAGGATGCAAGAACGAAGCATCATGCGATGAACATACTT